GAAGTCACAAAACATTTGTTTGAAACATTTTTCTCTAAAATGCACTATTCAAGAGAAATTTGAGGTTGTCATTTAAAATGGGACACCCTGTATATGTACATTATTCATTAATTATACTATTTGTTGAATAATAAGGCGACTAGTTACTAGCGCGGAATTGGATCATATACTCGACGCTCAAGAAACTAGCTTATTTGTTGATAATGTAAATATAAATTTACCATTACAATAGTATTTATTACAAATCTTTTTATTCGTATCAAATACCTGATTAATTATATGCAAATTTTATAGAAGATAGTAAGATAGCTAAGCAACAGTTATGAAATATACATAACAATTAGACATAATGATGTTCTAAAATTGGAAAAATCTCACAGAAATCAGATATGTTTACAGAAATAACATTTCTAGTCGAAAAACAGGTGAGTGCAAGCTGTTGGTAACAAAATTATATCTTATGAATTATGTAGCATTACTAAACGTGAACTTAGAAAATATTTATACATATATACTTTACATATATTTCGAATCTTTTTCTAGAGGCAACAAATTAATAATATAGAATATTTTGCTAATAAAACCACGAATAACATCGACGGTGGACGTGTTCAACTCAGAAAGTCAGAATAGAGAAGTCACAGATATAGAAAGATATTATAAACACTTGGATGCTCAGTTATTTTTGATAAAATGATATTATAATGAGTATATTATCTTACAGCGGAAAATCAAGATTTCCACTGTAACTATAATAGTGATAATATGTCTTTTATTTATTACCGCGTCATTTTAGAAACTATTTCAGAAATATTATATAATCTTATAAGACACCTTCCAAATGAAGTTTATTTTAAAATACTTTAATGTTGATGATTATATATATATATAAAATAAATGTATGTGATGAATTTACATAATTATAACTTATAATTATTTTTTTTTTAATTCTGGGTATTTTTTATAGTGGTTTACTAGTATTTTTGCGCAGGGTCTCAATTTGTGATCCACAGTGGTACATGCAAAAAATATTTCCAATATGTTTTTATAATCTTTACTGAAGTCAATAGCAGGTAGAGCTGGACGTGTACCTATACAAAATAAGATTATTTTATTAATTTAATTTCTACTAATTTATCTCAAATAACATTATAATTAACAGGCATATTTCAAATTGCTACTTACCATATTTATTTTCGTTTATACTAACATCAGATTTATCAAGCTGATTATTTCTCGTATCTTCAGATGTAGTGCAGCTATCAAAAGATTCATTTTCATTAAAATCTTCACAGTGAGGTGTCGATAAAGCTATCATTTCCCAAAGGACAAGACCGTATGTCCAAATGTCAGCAGCATTTGTCACTGGTCCATTTTCTGCAAAAAAATTTAACAATTTTTTTAAAAATAAGTCGTGAATATCATAACTCAAACATAAATGTAGAAATAAGATTTCTGAAGCAATGATTTAAAAAATTATGAATTATAAGCTTGGTACATCACAATTTTAATGTAAATTTAAAAATTATAACACACATAATTGAACAAGCAAACGTACCTGATATAATCTCAGGAGGATTCCAACATGTTGTTCCAACATAAGAAAAATTGCCTTTTGATGTGTCTATTTTAAAAGATTTTGTCAAGGGTAATGAATTTCCAAAGTCACACAGTTTAACTGTGTTGAAATCATTGGACACCAAAATGTTCCAGCTTTTTATATCTCCATGTAATATGTATGCAGTATGATGTAGATACTCGAGACCTTTTGCAATTTCAAAAGCGACTTTCAAAATGGTCTTAGCTCGGAATGGTTTGTTTTTAAAAGTCTCTCGTCTCTTCTCAATTTTGTCACCTAATTTGCCATGTTAATATTAATACAAACACATATTTAAAATGTTCAAGTTAGTTAGTTCTATAAATACCAAGTGACATATCCAGAGCTTCCATAGCCAAGCAAGATTTTCCATCTGCTCCTTTGGTGAATGCTCTAAAACCAATAATGTTGGGATGATTCAATTGTCGTAGAACATCAGCTTCTAATTTGAGATTCTTATCATTTCTCTTGTTGCTTTTTCCTTTCAGCCGTTTCTTTACTGCCCATGGGGAGAGTTCACGGCCTACTTTGGACGATCTTTCAAACATGTATACTGCAACTCCTGATAAAAAGCATGGAAATAAAATACAATGTAGATTCAAGCTAATAGCTTTAGCTAATTAATAATTAGCATTAAGCTAATAGATAATAAAATTACAATTATAGCTATACAATAAAGGATAAAAAATTATTATATATGATTCATCATTTCTAATATGTTTTTTTTTCTATATATAAATCATAAAGAACAATAACTCTATTTTGGCAAAATAATGCAAGTTTTATATAATAAGTTAATCACATACATTACGTCAATCCTTGATTAAATTAATTGGTCCAAGTCATTCTAAATATTTTTTATTCCTTTTATCATTTGAATGATAAATAGAAAAGTAAATATAATTGTATACAATAATCAGATATTTTTGGATCTAAAGCAGGAAATTTTATTAAGCAGACAGGAAAAAAGAATTTATAGATATAAATACAACAGCTATCTATTTTCAAAAAACAATATAATTATTTGTATTTCTATTCAAAATTATCCACTTAAATAAGCAAGATAAATTCTTAAGAAAAATATATTCTCAGCAAGTAAAATCAAAATTAATTTTTGTTATTAATACAGTTTTAAAAATATAAACTCAAGGTTGAATTTTCTTCTTTTCTTTCTATTCATATTTTAATTTTGTTCATTGCAAAGAAAACTCATTTAACTGTTATATTGAAATCTATTCTATAATGTACTTTTTGTTTCTTTTCCTTTTGATTTTTTCCTTTTTGCAGCAGACAATTGTATGTCTCGCCTTGTTTTTTTCGAAGTTTAACTTTTATCTTGTGCGATAGAAAATGAAAATGGGATAAAAAGAAAAAAATAAGCAATAAAAAACAGCAAAACGTAAGAAACAGAACACGAAAAGCACACTGTAGGTTTTACAATTTGGCAAATAAATAAAATCAGAGCGTCTAATTAAGGCTACATTCCAAAAACTCATCAAAGAAACTTTTATTCGATATATATATAGTGTACGTTACATGTACTATATTTCGAATAAAATTTTCTTCCAGAGAAGAAATCTAAGGATGTAACTTAAGTACATATGACAAAGGAATTTGTGAGGTACATTATACATACCGGTACCATAGCCTATTTTTTCCAGTAAAGGTGAAGCTGGTATTTCTATGGGCGTATTTAATTTAGCTTTGTTTAGCCTCCTCATTTTCGGTGGTGTACTAAACTCAGCCATACTGTCGAAAATCACGAATAATATTGAGAGAACGGTAGGAACGAAATGAAAATGGATCACAAAACAGACGCTTAGAAAATCGTTGGCTTTCAAACAATTTGAATCTTGTCAAAACTGCGCATGCCCTTAGCCATGATGCAACCAATGGCTACGTTTACACCGTTCGCTTCGGGCTGCTGCACACAAAATTCCATAAAGGCCCGTCTACAATACACGGAGTAAAAAGTAAGAGTAAGAAATTGACCAATCACAGTCGAATGTGAGAAGAATAATCGACTGTGATTGGTCAATTTCTTACTCTTACTTCTTACTCTGTGTATTGTAGACAGGCCTTTAGGGTGCCGTCACATGCGGCGTAACCTGCGTAAGGGTGAGGTCCCATGCAGCGGATCGTGCGTAAGCGGATTCGCGTATCGCCAATCATAGAATCATTCTCTTAGATCTGTTTGCAAATTTCGTAAGCATATCTAAGAGAATGATTCTGTGATTGGCGATACGCGAATCCGCTTACGCACGATCCGCTGCATAGGACCCAGGGTTGGGAAATTTAGCGCTGCGAGAGGTTTCCTACATTTCCTACGTAGGAAGTATAATACGTACAAAACATGTATTAAACCCATTTCTCACGAAATACAGGGTGCTTTCCGATAAGGACACAATCAGACACTGTGTAACACAGCAAATCATTTCATCCTTGTTTAACGTAGGCAAACAACAAGGATGTAATGATTCACTGTGTTACACTAGGTTTGTTCGCGTCGCATGCTCCAACATACTCCTACGATAGCTCCTATTCACTCTATCAAGCGCGTTGGAGTGAGTAGGAGCTATGGTAGGAGCATATTGGAACATATTGGAGCATGCGACGCGAACAAACCCCTAGTGTCTGACTGTGTCCTTGCTGGAAAGCACCCACAGGTTACACGGTTATAGCACAGCACTGGACAAGGCTAAACTGGACAAGACTAAAGAAAAAGTTAAATAAAGTTTTATTGTTCGTTGTATTTTACTTACCTGTGGCTTTTTAATCTGCTTTCAGCAGTATGACGAATTGTTTTTTTGCAGATCGTACAAAAAGCAAAAAGTTTTTTGTCTTTATATTATTTGTTTTATTTTGTAGATTTGGAATATGTAAATCAGTATAATATAGTTTGAGGTTACGTTACAAGTGGACCGCAGCAGCCTCTGTGCCCGTGTGATGTGGTGTGATGTGCACGCGACTAGCGCCATTTTACTACATGGCTGAAACTTATGATGTATTATACATATAGCGTTTTCGGCCCGATCGGGTTTGCACCAACCTTGGTTGGACTAATCTTTCCTATTGGTTGACGTCACCCGCTCTACCAATAGGAGAGCACAAAACGCCATTAATCCAACCCAGGTTGGTGCAAACCTGGCCGGGCCGAAAACGCTAATAGTTTCATCCATGTATGAAACCACGTATGATACGTTGAGTTTTATACGTGCCCAACCCTGATAGGACCTCACCCTAAGGCCATTCTCCATAAGACGCAGAACGCGGGTTGCAGGTCGCAAAACTAGAAACTAACATAACGTATTTTATAGCGTTTTCGGCCCGGCCAGGTTTGCACCAACCTGGGTTGTATTAATGGCGTTTTGTGCTCTCCTATTGGTAGAGCGGGTGACGTCAACCAATAGGAAAGATTAATCCAACCAAGGTTGG